TCCACATGGACTACCTCTTCATTGGCAAGTATGGTATGATGACTCAAGTGACTACATTCTGGTACTAAAGGATGACTACTCGCACTTTTGTGAGCTGGCGCCGTGTAAGACGGCTGACTCGGTGACGGCTGCAAATGCAATTCTGCAGTGGAACATGAGATTTGGATCAACGAAAGTCCTGATCAGTGACACCGCAGCTCACTTTAAAAACGAATTGCTTGCTGAGCTGTGCCGCTACACTCACACCCGACAGGACTTTACCGTTGCGTATTGTCCCTGGATAAACAGCAGTGTGGAGCGCATCAATAGGGATATATTGCAAGTACTGCGAGTGATGATCCTGGAATTTCGGCTGCGCAAAGAGCAATGGGCTGACATTCTACCCCTCATCCAAGCCAACCTAAACCAGACACCTGTTCAATCTCTGGCGAATCTAGCTCCGATCGAGGTGTTTACTGGTCTGGAGAAGCCATCACTACTCAAGAACATCCTGGTGACCTCGGACGAGGGCAAGGAGCGCGTTGTGACGTTCGATGAGCTCCCTGTCGGAATTCTGGCCAAAGTCGATGCCCTTCGCCAAAAATTCCACAACATGCACAAGAAATTGGAGCAGGCAAAAGAAAAGCAGACTCGATGCAATCAACGAACGGCGTATGCAGTAAACTTTTACATTGGTGATTATGTTTTGTGGTCCCGCATCGAGTCGAGATTGAGGACCAACAAACTATCAGTTAAATGGATTGGCCCCTACAGAGTCATCGATGCCCAGCCGAACTCCTTCACTGTTGAACACCTCATCAATGGATCTACTCGGAACGTACACGCCTCCCGTCTCAAGCACTATGGTGACAGCTCTTTTGAAGTGACTGAAGAGATTGTTGAGCACATTGCCAACCAGGACATCTACCTGACAGTCCGAGAATTCGTCCAGCACCGTCCGAGTGATGACCGCGGCTACGACATCCTGGTAGCGTGGGAAGGGCTTGAGGATATCGAGAACTCCTGGGAGCCAATCCACACGCTGTATGAAGATGTGCGCGTAAAGTTGCAGCAGTATGTGGACAAGGTCGGTACCTTCACCTCACATTGTACATGCAAAATCTCAACTTAGGGGGCCAAGTTGGGGACAAGCGCACGGCCACTGCTCCGGCTCGGGTGACAACGACTCTGAACGCGAAGAAGAAGAAGACCAACCATAAGCAGCGTCAGCACAAGCATGTGCACCGCTCCAAAGCGAAGACCAAGGGCACGCGCGGATAGCCTACCTTGGAGGGCAGTGTAGTGGAATGTCAGTTGGCTACCCGCTGCCGACTGCAACGGACGACGGCGGGCTGGAGAAAGCCGCCGTCATGAAACTCACGCCCTGTGGCAAGAGTCGACGGAAACGAACATGCAGTGGTTACCTAGGTAGCACAGGGAGAGAAGCGCCTACATAGTATGCGTGAAGAAGGTAGCGAGAAGCTAACCAACAAATACAATTTGCAATTCGCAATCTCAAGGGCAAGTCGACGACAGCAAGGCCGCCGCCGACTTACAAGTCCAAGTTCAGCTTGTCGATGCTGAAGACACTACACTCCTCGCAACCACTCACTACCGCTTCTAGTGGTGACTGCACTCGAGCAGGTCAATGATGCCCTGGTTGGTAGGCACGAACACGAAGAGAGAGTCTGTCCAATCTTATTTTTTTAAAATAAACTGTAGGAAACTGAGTCTGACGCTCCCGTATATGAACTTGCTGACCGTGTTCCCTCCGCTCTAAATCAGGGTACGAACGTATTGCGACGAGGCATTTAGTCACATCATCACAGCGGATAAACTGTAGCATTTTAGCTAAAGCTGCACCCGTCGTCCTGTTGCTGAGCCAGATTAGCATTTCTCTGTTTGGAAAGTTCCCTCTATATCGTGTACCTCCGATTTAATGACATATGGCCACTAAATTCCACATCTTGATGCAGTGAAATCTCAATCCTATCCATGTCACAACTCTAGAGATGTCAGTAAACACAGGAATTTTTGGTCAAAAATGGCCCTGGGAGACTCAATCAGAATGTCAGCCCTAACCCGTTCCTTCTAAACTGATATCAGGTATTGTGAAAACCGAACACTATGTCCTATTTTACTGGGAGGACAGCTTTAGCTGGCTGAACAGCCTAACCAATTTTATTTCAGCGGCCGGGATTTTTTCCCACTTTAATTGGCAAATGTCGCCTGAGTCCATAGTCCACAGCTTTTGGCTACCGTGACATCACAAAGATTGTACAGTTCGTGGCTGGTTGTTCCCAAAATGTCGACCGTATCCGTAGTGTGTACCACACACTGTAGTGAGCAGTTCTTGAATTTATGAAATTTATTCGCAAGGTCAAAACTAGGATAGCTGTATTTTCTCGTTATCAGCTAAAATTTACTCAAAATCAATGGTGAAGTTGCCGTGCAAAAGACACGAAATAGCGCCTTTAAGTTCTTTCGTGTCTTTTGCACGGCAACTTCGCCATTTTTTAAAAAGGCGCAACACCAGGGTTTGAAAACTTGCCACCAATTTTCATGTTACATTATTCTTGCCTACCCCACGTTTGCACACAAAGGAAGTGTACACTGTCCTCCCAGACCAAAGCTTCGCCTCTAGTTTGCAAATCGATCGATTTGGGGTGGCTGAGACCTTGTTTTGTTATATATAAATAGGATGCTACTCCGATTTGGCTTTCACCAGACCTGTTCATATATCGCGGCGAATGCCCATGTGACATTAGGCATTATGAGGGTAGCTCGTTTATATGAACGGTGCCCCATGTCAACGTGAGCGGCAAACTCGACGCTGCCGTATACATGAAACACCCGATGGGTACATGCAATATGTGTCTGCGTCTGAACTATTCACGGGGCTGAAATTTGGCACGAGTGGCTGCTTATACGCTAGCTCTAGCCCGCTGCACGATGCAGTGCACCTCTGCGGCCATTTATATAGCCCAGGAAGTTAGACTCTCATTAGCATTTGATAGGGATTTGCACATGGACGGTTTACGACCAACATTACGATTTAGGATGTGGTGTACCCCTTTTTATATATTTTCTACCCCACCTAATCAAGCTAATCTGGTCTGGACATCTTTGCCGGTTTTCACAATAAGTAAATGCAAGTATGGACCCTTGAAAAAGCTAAGTAAAAGTGAGTGCACCAATGTAAGTAGGGACTTCGTCCCCAATAAAGAGAAGTGATAGATGATTATAAGTGGGGACTTCGTCACCAATAACTTAGCACTTCCTAGTGATTTCGATGATCGATCTTCAAAATTCCTACATCTCTGTCGCTGCACGCTTCACACAGTTGGAATCTTCGTGCAAAAATTCTCCGTTTGTGAGCATGAGGTGCTGGTTCTTATTCAAAGTTGAACCATCCAGTTGAGAAGCATCAGTCGATTCCTGAAGCCACTTTAGACCCGTCTGATTGATACATATTATGCACTTACCGCTCTAAGTGGCTCCCATATAAGCTGTGCAACATGGGTGTCATTCCTTCGAAGGAGAAATTAAGCTCACGCCACCAAAGCAATCTTGACCACTTCAGGGGATCGGAGTTTGCTGTATGCGGGACTGACACGAGCAAAGCCAGTGTAACAATGTTGTGTGCGGCGGTTAGATCAGTGGCCCTGCACGTCGTAAATCGTCATCTGTACTAAATGGGAATGTGGCCAAACCTCATTTGGAAGTCGAAAGATTGACACACACCGCTAAATTTCTTCAAGTGCGTGACAGTAGTCAGTGTTAACTAGGTCGTCTTCGACTTGGCTGGGAACACCTGTGGTATAAAACGCTGATGCTGGTACCGGTGCTAATTGCCGTGATAAGGGAGATGTTACCGAATTGGCGGTCCAAGCGTAGATCATTTAGAGGAGAAGCTTGTCATCAAGGCCAGTGAGCTGAAAGGCTGGCGTTCATAGTTACATTTGTGTATTTTAGCGAGTAGCCAAGGCAAGAGGGGCGGTGGTTTCATATCCACCTTCTCCGATAGCGTCTACTCGCTCACTCTCTTTAAAACCAGACAATAAAGAAGAGCAACCCCACTGCGCTATCTTCGTTGAGGCTTCTTTCATCCAACGCAGCTTCTTCGGAGTAGGCCCCGCCTGACAGAAAAGAGGTCTACTCTAGGTGTACGTGGCACCATATTGCGACAGGAGAACTGTAGCCCGCATGATTCAAGGGTGTGGCCCCGCAATCTTAACGCGTTTAGCGTTCTTTCACTTAACCCTTTTGTTCCAAAACGCTGCATTATGCATCGTTTTACAAATTTTGTCCAATCCAATGTAGACGTTATATTTTAAGATAATAGTACTGCTATTGGTAAAGGGCGTAAAACGATGCATTATGCAGCGTTTTACAAATCTCTCTAAACTGTTATACTATGTTCCTCTATGTTGTTATATTTGGGTTACCGGAAATCCGGTGTAAACCGATGCCTGATGCATCTTTTTGCAAAAATATCTTAATTAAAGTATACTTGTCTTTCAATAGGGAATGTATCGGGAACAAAAGGATTAACTGTAGCAACCTTTGCTCCTCTTCAAGCGCTTCCTCTGGAGGCCGATCCCACCGAATAATATCGGTGCTGATTGCCGCGGTTCACTTTCTGAAGCTGGTGGATGGGGCTGTTGATGTCGCTGTGCACTTCCTGCCTTGCTGAAAGTTGCCGTTGAACCTGCTCGGTCGACATTCTTATGGCTCGTATAGCACGAAGGTTGCGCCAGGTTGCGCTTACGCGTCCAATTAATCCGTTGAGAGCTGTCCACCCCCTCATTCTTCGGGTGTTCCCAGTATAAATGTGGCATATCTGAGTTACTAGTTACTGCAGTAGTATTAGTCGGCTCCTCGTCCCAAAATACTACACCATTGCACGGCGTTATTCACAAAGCCAACACTCAAATTTAAAAAGTGCGCACTCAAATCCAAAACCCTCTCAGATATATTACCTTTTACAAATGATATACCTGCTAAATCCGGTTGAACAATTAAGCTCCAACTTGCATGTCTTCAAAGCGGAGGGCACGTTGGTGGTGAGGCAACGAGTGACAGAACGCTCGGTTGCACAACTCTGGCGTGACAACTTCAGCGAAGAGAGGGTTTGCTGCAAGCTCCAGGAAGCCAGCGCGGTGCTCCGTGATGGTCGTTCCTTCTGGCACGCGGAGGATGGCCGGGCGCTGCCGCGCGAGAAAGCGCTTGACAACGCTCTTGTACACCGATAACACGTTCTCGATAGGGTTCAGCATGGGGGAGTATGGCCCAAGCTTCAGCATCTCGGTTCCCGCAGATTCTGGTTCTTCAAACACGTCTTGGCCGAGGTGTGGCACGGGGCGTTGTCTAGGACAAGGACCACCTCGTCCAGTGGGGTTGTCGAACGGATATGGCGAAGGAAACGCCGGATAAACTCGTTGGCCAGCTCCGACGTGAACGAATCGAACTGAGACTCCTGGTAGGTCACACCTGTACTGGAGATAACAGCAATAACATGGATGTTCTTACCTTTGCTCGCCACACTCGTCTGCCCTGCTCGATGCCCTCGCCTGCTCCAGCCCCTCCGCGCGAGCACGACAAGTTGAAGTTGGTCTCATCCAGGTAGAAGATATTCTTGTTGCTGGCGAGAGCCGCGTAGAACTTGACGACGTAGTCGTAGCGCTTCTACTTGTTGCTGTCGCTGTTGCGATTGACGACGTCGCGGTGGAGCTTCTTTAGCGTGAAGCGATGCGCGTCCATGGCGCGACGCACCGTCTCTCGGTTGATGCGCACGTCAAACGTCTGCTCAACGAGCTCCGTCATCTGGACGAGCGTCAATTCAGGCGTAGCAGCGAGCTCGCTGAGCAGGTAAGCGACGTGCACGACCTGGATCTTCTTCTCGGAGCTGCCGCGCTACTTCTGGACGCCACTCTAGTCGCCAGTGTCCATCGCCGTCTTGATCCAACCCCAGGCGGTCCTCTCGTGGACATCATGGAGCGCTGCCACCGTCTTCCAGTCCTTGGCCTTCTCTGCTGCGCGTAGGATGCACGCGCGCACTTGTTGCGGGTACCTCTTGTAGCTTGTGGGGGGCATGGCGCCAATTGCAAAGTGAACTCGATAGAAGTGCGAGCGCAGCGTTCGCGCCAAGCTCCCGCGATTTTTAAGCACCTTTGGGTCCAACCAACATAATCCTATTAAAAAGAATAATACACGGTATGTGATATTGGATAGTTCATTTAAATTTGAGTGCGCACGTTTTGAATTTGAGTGTTGGCTTTGTGAATAACGCCGTGCAATGGTGTAGCTACTATAGTATTTTGAGCATCACATTAATATTGGTATCAGCAGGATAGTAGTTCAAAACAAACTACTGTCAATCCCTGGTTGTAAGTTTCAAATTGTACCCCCATGATGTTTTGGCCTTCTCGCCTTCTGACGGATGATACTTCGATGATTCTAGCACGAGGACATGGTGACGCATCGATTTCGTTGGTACCGGAATGAGTAGCAACGAAATCAACGCCTCACCACGTTCCAGAAATGGAAGTAGGATTTCTTGGGGGTTGTATGATATTTCCTGTCAATTGTTGATGTAGTGATCTTCATACGGCGCGTTGGCAGTGCCCTCTTCAAACTTCAGATATATTTGGAAGGCGCTGCCCGCCTCTTGCCTTGATTTGGAGCAGCGGAGGAGACTACTGGTCGACCACGCTGGTCCTTGGATGACAAGAGGACAGATGGAGTCTTGGCAGGCCGATAGCGGCAGATAAAGTAGCACACAGACAAGCTCAGGTCGCCAACGAGGAGCGCTCGGCCTTTTATCATACTGCGCATGCGCCCATGACCAACTACTCATCGTCCAGAGCCCCCCCCCCCCTCTCATGGGTTTACGGGGTCGAAAATCACGTAGCGGCGCCCCTGCCAAAAATAGATCGGGTCGCTACGTGTTTTTGCCAAAAACACGTCCTTCTGAAAGCCTCTAATACCATACTTTTCGCTTGCCCAGCAAAGTATTGCTCCAGTGTTGCGTTTTGCTAAGAGATCGAGAATTTTCCTTCAGCCCGGGTCTTTATCAAAAGGGCCTAAAAACATTTTTCAAACAGAAGCCACAAAGCCATCAAATGTACATATACAGCGCGTCTGGTAATGGAAGGCACCCCATGGGCTAGTCATACGTACAAAAATCAAGTTAAAACGATTTACTTCTAACAGCTACAGCAATGCAAGGCGCGGATGAGTAGATACTGAAGTTATCATCCATATTACACATTTCGACAGAAGATATGGCCTATTGGCCGGAATATGCACAACGAATCTTCCCGCATATATGGTTTTTACTTTGGGTAAGTATTTTTGCCTGTATGGACTGCGCATATCACTTGCACACAAAAATGTATCACTGGATTTTTGTATGGGTGTGCATAAGTCTCTGCATATCTCCCGTCCGAAGTAAAAATAAATAAAAGCGCCTGAACAGATATGTGTAGCGATGGTAAGGTCTCAGAAGCCAAGAGTTGGCTAAGAGTCCGAGGGCATTTCTCCTACTCATCGTGGGAGATCGGTACAAAAACCAAGGTAAAGTCGGATTGATGTGGGTTATTACATGAGTCGGATGATCAATGATTTGTCAAAATCTAGACCTTAATAGCCAATGAAACTCCTTCATATTCAAGTCCCAGCGATTTCGCATCGGATAGTGTAGATTTCGTGCGAAACTAAGGCAAAACAGAATTCCTCTCCGACTAGAAAATCATTTTGACTTGATATTTGTATGCTGTTCGGCCAAAACTACCTTCAGGGATGCCATCAATTACCGGATCCGCTGTAGTACCATAGATGGTCGATTGGTAGTCATCGCCAGTGCACCATAAAGCTAAAGGGTTAATGTGTGCTTGCATTGGATGGTGAGGGCAGGATGATACGACTGTGTGTTTGTATAGAGCCGTACAACTTTGCGCGTAGAAACTTACGACTCGTACGTTTCAGCACTGTCGTACAACTCTACGCGTAAAATCTGACGAGTCGTATTTTTTTAGCATAATCGTACGACTTTACGGGTAAGATGTAGATAAGGATGGATATCGTTAAAGTGCCGACACATATGTTTTTCTACTTATCCACTGTATGGTGGCCATGGTCCAATCAAATGACGATAAGCGATTATTGTCGAATGAGGAGGCCGATGGATAGCATTTTATCCAATCGTCAACGTTAGGGGTAGGTTAATGAGCCGCCGACACTCCTGGCGACGTATAATGTCAGCTGGGCTGTGGAGATATGTTATCCACCTATAGTGAGGTTAAGTAATTAGGCGATTATACACATATTTGCTTGCTGCCGACACTTCACATTGAGTTTGCATTGCGTATGTTTGCTGTTGGAAGCTTTTTGTATGGCGCTTTCACTTACGTCACAAATTCAATCGAGTTTTCTCGGCGGCGCCTTACCCGCATGCGTGCATGACACATAGCGGCTTCTGGTAAGGCGTTGCTCATGGGACTTTTGTCGCTGCTGCTGAGGTGTCGCCAGCGAGACATGCAAGTGACTCTACAGAAGATATATCAAAGCGGAGCGTGAACCAGCGAGTATCAAATATTTAATCTTTTCAATATTAAATGAAAATAAATACAGTGCCTATGCTGTGCACTGACCACCGCAGCACCAGGTAGAAAGCGCCGCTCCACCAGTAAGTGCGGTGTGGCCACGCCCTCCGCCTCCCCTGCACGACAGCAGCGACCGTGTCCCTCGCCGCCCAGGGATCAACGCTCGCAGCCGTCTGCGTCAACGAGCGCAGGCGCCGCGCTGCTGCTGCTGCTGGTGGTGCTGGTGGTGCTGGTTGGCGAGGCGGTGCTGGTTGGCGAGGCGGTGCTGGGGCGAGGGCGGCTACTGCGGGTCCCTGGGCTGGCTCGGCAGCGCCGCGTACTGCTGGTGTGTCTGCCGCCTCCTGCTCTGACCTCCGCTCCTTCTCCATCTTGGACCCTTCTTCTTCATCTTGTCTCCTTTCACGCGCGCGTCGTCCGGCGAGGGCGGGTGGATACCGTGTGAGCGACCACCAGGCGCAGACTTCTCGTTGAGTGTTCTTGCTTCCTCTCCTCGCTCTCGCCCTCCACGCACTTGGTGTCGCCGTCGCGCTCTTGTTCTCCCCACCACCCTCCACGCACTTGGCGCCTCCGCCGTCCGTCGTGCCCATGGTGCCTTCGCCGTCCTTCGTGCACTTGGTGAGCCCGCCGTCCTTGGTGCCCTTGGTCAACCTGCCGTCCTTCGTGCCTTTGGGCAGCCTGCCGCCCATCGTGCCGTGGGTCTCCCCGCCGTCATTCGCGATCTTACCCCCCCTCCCCCGGCTCCTTCCGTACCTTGCTGGGTCCGGAGTGGAGGAGTCGGTCCTATTCAGCAACGAGGCGTCCGTCCACCTTCACGGCACATTTAGTCGGGCATCGATTAGGAAGCAGGGGCGGACACAGGTGCCCACCCCCACCCCCCACCCCCCCTCCGTGTTGTTTTTGACTGCGTCCCCCCCCCCTGTTTGGAAGAGAGCTTATGAAGCGTCTTGATGCGCGCTGCTCTACGTACAAGCAGAAAGTATTTGATGGTGTGGAGATTCAACACCACTGGAGGTGTTGGAATGCTAGACTTTTGTGAGGAATCAGTCGCAGGTGACTAGTACCGATGTCAGTTGCGCCAGGAATTTCTTATTATCAAGGACTTCTTCAGTCTATCAGGTGAGACACTTTTTGCGGACAACAACGCGCCAGCCCACATCGCGAAGATAGCTGTGGGCTGCCTTCGTGAGTCGAATCTGATTTCGTTGGGCCACCCGCCGAATAGCCCGGATCTCAACCCCATCGAGAACATTTGGTTCGTAATGAAGGAGTTGCAGAAGAACCCTGCAATATCGCTAGATGGTCTCAGGATTCTTTCGATGCCAAAGAGGTTGAAAGCTGTACTTACCAGTAGAGTCGGTCATACAAATACTAAATATTGTGCTCACCACGCATGTTGGACATTACCCGTTTAAAGGGATTTGACGTCGCGAAATCATGGTCGATATATATGTAAATCCCTCTAAACGCTTACGGCAGTGTCGGCACTCTGGTCAAATTTTATTATATAGATACCGCCCAGCGAACAGCTGAACAACGAATCAGGGCTTTAATGACCGTCCTACATGCTAATGGCGCAGCTAAATACCCAGCTGGTTGATATAAGAACGACAGGGTGTCGAACTTGTTCGGGACTAAAACACGGAGTAAGGCGAGGTATTAGACATCTTTCGAAAGCGACTGATGGATGTTGTTTGTGGGATAGCGCCAAACTATATCCCATAAACGATAGTGACAAGATTTCGTTTCGAAGTGAAGGTATATCGGATATTTGTTAGCGACTGTTCGAATCAACCATCAGAGGTACCACAAAGTCACCACCAAGTAGGATCTCTCACTCACGGTGCCGCGCGATGGAAGGGTCACCGCTCAGTGCTACCGTGCTTCTGCTGCTTCTTGATGAGCTCGACGGGACCGACGATGCGCTCGCGCTGGAGCGGCGTGCGTCACACATTGAGAGGCCACTTATCCCGAATGTCCGATTCGATTTTGCCGCATATCCCGGCGCCAACGCCCTCAAAGACTTCCGCTTCACCTGCGCAGAGCTACAGAGGCTGACTGCCCTCGTGAAGATGCCACATGTGTTCATCAGCGAACCTGGAGATCGCCTCATAGGTGTGGAGGCCCTGGCCATGCTTTGCTATCGCCTCTCATATCCGGCGGCATATACGGAAGCAGTTTGGCCGCTCGGATCCGGCATGCAGCCGCATCATCACGGATACCTGTAAGTGCTTTGGACTATGGAGCATTGTGTATAATGCATCATATGTAACTACTGCTTGTTTAGACTGCTTCCTCAACAATGAATGAAAAGACACTGTTTTTTTTCGCTCAGCTGGACAGCGAGAAGGTAGGCCTCTTGAGGACCAAAACGTTGACGAACCTTCCGCTCTTCCTCCGTGCAGACCTTCGCTTGGAAGTCGTCTGGACCCAGTGACGCGTTCGTCGCTTTAGCCCCATCACTTGACTCGCTGTACTGGTTTGCTTCTTCCCCGGAATTGCTGCCGGAGACTTCTTCCTCGGAACTCGATTGCTTAGCTGGAGATTGAGCTTAGTGAGCTAGTTGAGCGACGGAGACGCATGTCGAGAACAGCTTGACTCTGGGAAGGGGAGGAAGGTGGTAAGCACGAACGTCCGGCGGTCATTGGCGCGAGATCTTTGTGTGAGAAGACCTGGAAAACCGCATGCAATATCTGCAATACTCGATAAGAGAGACGAGAGCAATATATATCTAAAAGAGAGTTCATCATCTAGCAGCGATTCTCACATCCAATATAGCCGTTGGGTAGAGTGGCGTTTTGCCGACTTCTCAGATCGCGTTTGTTGGATAGATCGAGGGATTAAGAGTCCGTGTAAAAATGGGCGGTTTTATGTGCTTCTATCCCACAACCAACAAACAACACTCGCTTCGAAAGGTGTCTATTAGACCCCAAAACCAGTTATCGGTCAATTAACAGCACCGAGCCAACTACCTTGAGTTTAGTATCGAAAAAAGTATTTCAGCTTAACATTGCATTATAACGCATTTAACAGTCTGAGATCTGCTCTATGCCATAAAGATCGAGGTATTGATTTGTAACGCAGTCTTCATTTCACATTCTCTGTATCAGTTATGAACCTGCTAGAATATAGTAGTCTCTAAGCCACCGATTAATTGGGCAGTCGCTCTAATAAAACATACTCTGTTGGGCTCACTTCGAAACCTACTCGATGGCAAGAAGCGCCCCAAGCACCCCGCGATCACCGGCGGAATTGCTCCGCCGGCTCGCCCAAGACGCGGCACTCGTTTATGACGACGTGTCCCAGCATAGAGCGGCGGCTCCGAAGCGGTCGTGACGTTGGGGAACTTTACCATGACGGAGTCCCACCTGCCCTGGAGCCACGTAGAGACCGAGCTTACAAGCCAGTGGAACTCCGGTCGCGGGCGCAAGTCCGCCACCACGCCGAAGGATGGGTTCATGACACTACTGTGCGTCTTAAAGCACTATGAGACGTGGCAGAAGCACGCCATTGACTTCGGCTACAAGTGTAATGGGCCTACTTTGGCTCACTACTACGGCTTACACGTGTGCGCACGTGTATGAGGAAGCGAAGGTTTCTTTTACTTGAGTTAAATATTCTCGAGATCCACGAGTATACTTTAAACAAGTATAAAGACTCTAAGTAGCGAGTTTTGGTAAAGATGAGAACTGCTATTTTTGTTTTATGCTCTCTGTCTCCCTCTAATTGTAATATTCTAAGTTAGGAATCTGCCGACGGCTGGTTGGCAGAATTCCAATGCTATGCATGTCGCTCATAGGCTAAAAGATGCTTCTTTCAGCCAATAGGAATCCTAAGTCTCTAACTCGTACGTCTTATCGAGTACTACTTATCAATAAATCGTATTTGAGTACGAGTTGCTGTAAGTCGCGGGTGATCAATTCAATCAACACCAAGTACGGCACATGAGCCATTTTGTGCATAATGTAGCGCACCCAACACGAATAAGCATTCTGATGGCAATTTTAGAAAATTTTAAATTATCACTAAGTACATACACTAACTAGTGTACGAGAATATACATAGCGCAATACAGATAACGACAGAAATACGATCTACCCAAAAATACTTCTCTGTCCCACGAAAGCATAATGATTTGCTCTATCTTCGCTTCTACTTAAGATTTTTAAGCTTAGAAGCAGGCGCTAACACCTGATTTTTGCTGTCTATTATCTTTGAGAGCTAATGGAGCCACAACGCTTTTTCTTCCAGCAAATTTAGTTCTAAGTAGTTTTTTTTTTTGTAATTCTATCAAAAATTAGCGATAACTCGTCGATTTTTCAGGATGAGCTGCTATTGCCAATGTTAGCTTGGTGAATCAACTACATCCTGTGGAAAGGCCTGACAAGCGAGATATCTCGCTTCAAAATCAACGAGGTTTTCTAATCAAGTGTGCAATAATTGGAAAAATCAAATTTTGCCCAAACCAACGTCAAATAGCCAATAGTATTCACTGTATGGTACACAAAAACTTAACTACCCATACTTTTGTGGGGCATAGAAGTACGTCATGCGACAAGTACCTACTTCTGATCCGATACAAATACATATGTGTACTTTATCCAATTACATGAATATTTGCTATTATTTTTTTGCCAACCAATACTTCCCAAAATTACGGACGCATAGGGCGTCATGACTCATGCATGATTCATGGTGCATGGCGTCCTTCGCGCACTTTATAAAGAGAAAATGCGAGTCAAGTGCTCACGCAAAATACTGTATGAGCGCCAAGTGAGTTGCCTCGTTGCCGAGGTAGGCCTTGATCAATATCAAACTGAGCAATGTTCTGCGTTGTACCGTGCGCGACTAGATGAAAAGCGAAGAGAAAATTACCAACTTCAGCGGCTCATAGAAGCGCAAGACCATGAAACGGAAAGGAAGAAAGGAAATGACCCCATTTTACATGCTTTGGTTGTGCACATGAAGGATGGCTCGGGTATAATAATGTAAGTAATATAGTTACCATTTATTAACCATTTCCAGTTATGGTTCACTTCTCCGGTTCCCGTTATCAACAAGCCAGCTGTCGGTCAGCTTGTAAAAACACAAATGGCGTTCTCGTTAGACTTCTGGTGACGGTACTGGAACACGCCCCTGGCAGTGAGTATGATGTGGTCGAAACGTCAATCACTATGGTGCTGTGTATAAAAAGGGACATGAAGGGAAAGGAGCACCAGACTCAGCGAGGGTGACTGACTTGACTTGATCCAGGTGGTATGACAGTCGTTCTTACGGTGCGGGTTGATGATAAGATAATTTTTCTGGCATGTCATTTACTATACCATATTTTTAACTTACAAACGAAATTAATTTGAGTAATATTTGCAGAAAATGAACCTAGAATCTTGTCCACTATCAAGAAAGTTCCCGGCGGGGACATCAACAATAAAAGCTGAAACCCTACCCAGTGGGGCACTACTACTGTGTTCAAGAGAACGCACGGATGGACGCAAGATGCTGAGATTACTGTGCCAGTGAGCTGCTGCTGAACGAACTGGACGGACTAGATGTAACCCTCGCAATCAACTTTGACTGACATCTGTCCAGGGAAGACCAAAGGGTCGTGACAGAGAAAACTTTATATGTGGTGGACCCGTTGCCCGCGAACACCACATCCATGTGCCAGTCTCTCTACGTAAATATAACGGTCTTTCTGAAATCAGCCCGGCTCAGTACAGCAAAAGAATCTACCACGTCACTTTGTTATATTTATTTTGCTGTACAGTATTATTACATACATTATCGACCTTTCTCTAAGCATTATACCTTAATTTTGACCAATCAGCTTGACTGGAGTATTTGTAGCTTTCTGTTTATTAAGGAGTGGTCAGTGCTGACGTATTTTTCCGTGGTCATCTGTACATTTGTCGTAAATTCTATTAGTATCCGATAAAGCTACATGCATGTTCACTGCGAGCCCAACGCACACGCAACGCTTATATAAATTTATGAGTTTCGCATCAGCCGTCTGTCCTCAGACTGCTTCACATCAATGGTAGGTATGCCATTTGCAGACCCCGAATCAGACGAGGCGAAGCCATCCAGGACGTGTGGTTCTGCGAGAACATACTCTGTGGCGCGACATGCTGGGAGCGCGATACCAACGCGGCAAAAAAAGGTGGTAACTAACCGGTCGCGCGTGGCAATTTCTACGCGGATGCCGCCTAAACTGGGATATGCAATTAGTCGTGGGAACGGTAGGGGGGCAAGCGCGAGCCTACTCGGTACACGGTCGTGACATAGCCCCGGTAGCAGCAGCTTACGAAGAGTTAGACCAGTCTGAACGTTTATTTCGTTTGTAGAGTATAGAAAGAGAGGCCTGGGTTAGCACCACTGCACCGACAGGAAACGTGGTAAAGTTGCTGCGTTTTGCTTTCTCTTCGCATTGTCTTGTGTTTTTAATGCCCTGAAATTATTTGTCTGCCAGGGTTTCTGACAGATTTCACCGAATAAAAGGCCTTCACAAAAAATAAAAATAGACCCCGCCGTAATTTAGAATATGGATCAGAAAATAGAAGCCCTGCACGTATTATAAGCCCCTCTAAAGACCATACAACATTGTTTAGTTGCAACTTACTGAGCATAAATGTAACGTAGTATTACGAACTAAATTACTTTGTTAAAAACTTAATAACTTCGTTAATAATGTCCCCTTATCGACGTACCGAGAAAGAACAGGTACTAATGAGAGACCTAAATCTAGCACTGAAATGAGGGGGCGTTACCAAGTGTAAAAATAGTCAGTATTCACACGATATATGTTGTTTCTTACTCATATACTGTAAATACAAACTAATATGGATTTGAGTCCGACCTGCCTTCCGTTGCGATCCAATTATTAGATGACCTACACAGTTTAACCCCCTCCGCTCTCTCTCTTAATGACGATAGCTTTTTGGAGGCAAAACGGAATAGTGGCCCGGGTACTATTCGGTGAAATCCGTTAGACTACAGTAAAAAGTGTCAATAGTGTGGGCCACGGTATTTGCGCCACCCGAAATCTGGCTCAGCCTACAGTATTAGTGTGAGCTACAGTAATTACTCACCACACCAATAATACAGCCACGCTAATATGCAAATCACAGATTATATATGATGCCTAATAGTCTACCGTTAGTTAGAAAGGCTTATCAAAAGTGGAGTCGAATGCGTTATGGAAAACTGCTTGACCAATCTATTCTATCGTGTTTTACTAACAAGTATACGAAGTCTTAGCTTCTAACTCCAACGTGTGTGGCGAGGGTACCAGAAACAACTCGGTCACCAGTTGAAGTGTACAATCACTACAGTGATGCCTAGAGACCGAGCGAAGTGAAACCTTGGAGCTCTTTGGTAGATGTAAAATATGAATGTGTATTATGTCTGAGCTTAATCAGCCTTCTTCCCCTCAAACTCATCGCGATACTTCTCGATGATCACTTGCAGGTGCTTGGAAAGCTGCGACTCCTCCCACACTCCGTTGATGTTCTTCGACATCCCACATAGAATCATTGTCTTCCTGAGATACGACACGCCGTCCTTGTCGACTTTTTGACTAATTGTGCGCACACAACGCGCTGCAAGCTCTAAAAAGAATTACTTACCTGGATTGCTGAGTTTGCCTACTCATTTTCGTTCGATTTGGCTTGGAAAAAGCTTGCTTGTGCTCCAAATGAAACTTTTTTCCCATTCCGTCGACCACATCTCCTAAGGAATCCGCAGACTGGCACAATTGGGTCGCGTTGGGAGGGAGAAATTTGATGCTCATGTTCTTGCTGGATAACTCGTCCTTGCACCCTTCGATGCTGTGCCCACTTGCGTTGTAAACATACACGACTTGGTGTTCGCCACGCGGATGACGCCGGTTGTAGGTGTCGTCTGCGACCCAGTGGCGAAATACTTGATGGTCCATCCAGCCCTTTGTCCCACTCCGATAAGTGACACCGGGTACATCATCTGGGACTGTCAATTGGATAGCTTAGGTTCTTGTTTTGGAATATGACCATCGGAGGCTCCATATGCGCACTAGCGTCGCCCCTAATTTTAATGACGAGTGTCATACCCTCTCCACCGCTCACTACATCCAGGTATCGAATGCTCATGTCTCCGCGAAATTCTAGCGTCCGCTTGTTATTCATATTCACCACAAAATGGGCTTCATCCATATTGAAGACTTCGTTCTTGTCCAGATCTCGCACTATCAAATGCACCCTTCATTTTGCCGAGATGGGCAGCAACGCTGCGCTTAATTTATTCTTCTTTTTCGGAGCTGCACTCGAGTTTTCCACACTGCTTTCTTGACACAATGTCGATGCAGCTGCAGCAATGTTGGATTCATCAGTAGTTGACGCAGTCTTGGAGCTTACCTCCTTTGTCGTCCAGCGTTGTAGCGCGAAAGCTGCCCTCGATATTAGTCAAAATGTGAACGGCAAAGTGCTGCAGTAACGAGCGCGAGAGTTTAATGCCAGTCTTGCACAGGCGGCAAAACTCACCAAGCCGTTGGCTGTAAAGCCACTCAACCCATGGCGCTCGCTTTCTGCCTCACCCGGACCCCGCTTTACGACGCATCCGCTTCTTGACTCCGTTTTGAGTCGCAACAACGGATCGACGATGCTTTGAGAGATGCCTTTCCTTCTCCTTCCACCAGCGACAAGCCTTTTGAAGGTTCGCCTTCTGATTATCAGTAAAGAGACTTGGGAACTTGACCACAGCCTTTGAAGGCGCAACTGACTCTGACCGGCCTTATGTAGCGCCTGCATGTATGCCACTACACGCGTCCAATCCGTTAGAAATGCGACGACTTGAGGGGCACGTCGTGCATGTTGCGGACGCTCCGGATCTAGCACCACGACGGAGTCATCGCCTTCCTTTTCAACCCTCGTATCAGCGCTATCAGCAGTACTCGTTGCAAGGTTGATATCAGTGTTTGAGTCGGATTCTGTTTCTTTGTCTTCACTCCTCACCAGGGGAAAGAAATCAGCTAGCACATTCTGCCGAAGAGCTCGCTGCTTAGGTTTCTGTGGGTTTGTGATCGTTCTCTTTTCTTTACTGTTAGCTGGCGAAGTGGAGCACTCACGGCAACGAACGTGACCATCTTGCTTCTCTTCGACGGGGACACCGCAGAAAGGATAGTGTGGGTCAGACCATCTGCGGGCTGGTAAACATTGTTAGTGTGCCCTATGGTATTTGCGCAGCCACACTATTGTGCAGCCCACATTATTGACACTTTTTACTGTATGAGATGCGCGCCGCTTACACCATACGTAGCGGCCGTGGCGACCAAAGCGTTAGGCCTCCGGCAAGTAATGTAGTCGTACCGAAGAAGCTTCGAAATTTAAGGTTTTCTAATATAATAGCCCGCTCTGAAATTTGAGGTCTCTTCCATGTCTGTAAGAATTTCCCGCATGGATTGAGGGCTTTACTACCCTCTAAAAAGATTATACGCATATGTCAAGCTGCAGATACTTCTTGAGCAAGGTTCTTGTGCTATTAGTTTCTCTTTTTTATCACCACTTCCCCTCTTCCAAACTTTCTATCTCTACTTTTAGATCACATTACCAGGCAGATGCTGCGTCCGCGAAGAAGCAGATGTAGGAGATGCCGGCAATGAATGAAGGTCTATCATACCGCTAAAAATTGGGGGCTCGCAGTCAAGGCTCGCAACAGGCTCTCAATGCATGCAAGGAGGCACACGGGCAAAATACACCCACCGACCTCAACGCTATCAATGAAGCCTTCACCAAAAAAGTGCACGCTACAATGCTCGACCTTGGAGTAAATCGCGTGTACAACGCGGACCAAACAGGTTGCTAATTTTAGACAAGATTACAAATTAATTTTATTTGTTGTATAATATCTAATTTTGTGGCTGTACAGGCAGTACTACCACTTCTGACACCAGCTGTTGTGTATTTGTCGTGTACATGAGCAGGTTTTAGACACTACAAACTAATTTGAGCATGAGGTCGACCATACCACCGTCGGCATCACTCTACTCAACACTATCTCCCTCGTAGGCTTCGTCCTAGACCTACGGTGATCCGTCCCGCGCTCTTCCCGAAGCCCACATCTATACCCAGCTGCAGCCTAGGCACACAGGAAAAGTCAATTCATGGCAGGTTTCGGTCTTTCACCTAAGACATCTAGAAAAATTGATCCAAGCCAGCGCAAAGGAGACGCACTGGACCACCGAAACTGTGAATTCTCGCCGCAATATTCACGAATCGAATTCCACAGCTGTCAATCTTGACCAAAAGTGTTTTAAGTGCGGTGATCACCCACACAGAGTGCTTTAGTGCCCTGATATTGCAAGTGGGGATGTCGATGATCAGCTGGACTGTAAGCCGGTGAGCGTGCCGGGATCTACTGACTAGGAACGCCACCTGTACAGAAGCTCGAGCGTGTTTTACAAGCTATATTGATAGAGAGTGTAAAAAATGGGGGTGGATTATTTTTATGCATCAGGTGTCTACTTTTCATTACGTGCCAAAACGACTGTTTTTTTATTAATTAGTGGCTATTTTAAATGCAGGCCGATTAATTGTATGCATGAGGGTGATATTGTATGATAAAGTGAAAGCGAGGTTTAAGGTTTTTCTGGTATTTTGGGGGGATTTTACCGTATTTCTGTTTCTAATTTGTTCTATACCTAAGTAATATCTATATCATCAATCATTCAATCCGTCGCATCAGTGTGGGGTCGTACCTCGCGGAAGAAGTGGGCGCCGGGCGCCGGAGGAAGAAGGCGCCGGGACGCGAGTGATGGACTTCGACGCGGCTGATGGAACGCGACGCGGATTGATGGGCGCGACGCAGGGCCGAGCTCGACGGGAAAGTCGGCGTGGGTGATGGGCCGTGAGACACGGTGCCAGAATCCAGTGCGACGCGTAATCATCCGACGGGTCGACCAGCGCACCCGGTTCTGCAAAACGCGCCGACCCTAAACCCCGCCGACCAAAACGTGCCGAGGTAAGATCTTGATTGCGCCACGCAAATCAGGTTGAAGGACGGCAGTGCAAGCACGACAGAAGTAGGGATAGGCACAGAACGATAGGCTTAGCAAGCAGTAGTACGGAGTAGCCAGTAGCTAGGGCATAGGATAGGGTAAGGACTCAGTCCCGAAATTTCTCTGAACCACAAAGACCTCCCGTCTTCTCCGAGGTTTCAGGGGAACCACCAAGCGCCGGCAAGTAGAGCCGCCTCGATATCGCGGCCCCCCGTCGTTTGCTGGTTCGGGTGCTCACCCCCCACAGACCCGTGCTGGAACAAAGGCGCGTTAAACGTATACCGTTTAGGTGGGCGCCCGATAACGCGCTGCCTAGGCGAAGGACCGCACCGGCCTGATAACCGCCGTGCACAAGACCCCCCGTGTAGGCCCGATAACGCCGCACGCCCGACGGGAACTCCGAGGAAACGCCGGCCCGATAACGCCGCACGCCCAAGGCTCGACGTCCTACGACAAGGAACAAGCGTCAACACAAGAACCCCCAACTCCGAAGCCTGCGAAGACTTGGGCCTGTATTTCGAAGATACGCTACTCCAACAACCGGGAATAATTTGCTCGGCGCGACCGCTATCCAGACGCGCCGAGTTTGTGCGAGATCGCATTCGCGAGATTTCTGCGAGGGCGCTACTCCACAATGGTGCCGCGACCCGGGAGTACTACTTCGAATGACGGGCCAACGATCCAAGTGGCATCGGAGGCAGGTGCGCAGTCGACTGGAAGGTCGCCGACCGCAAGAGAGCACAGTGAGAGACCTGTCGCGTCGTGGAGCTCTGACGGAACCTTCACGACAGTCCACGGGGCCAGCGACGACCAGGAGGGCTACGAAGAACAGTTTGCCGTTCCCGATGCGGCTCCCGTCGAGGGAGCAGCGAAGGGCCGCGACGCAAGTCGCGGTCCTACCAGTCGGAAGCCTGCAAAGGCCGACGACCAACAACAACCCACCGCCAAGGCAGCCACGAAGCGCAAGTCGCCCAAGAGGAAGAAAAAGAAGCTGCGCGCGCCGGACTCGGCGGAGGAGTCGCTGTCCAAGCCGCAAGGCAAGGACACGGGACGTCAGTACACCGTCGAGGAGGTACGGTACGTCGTGGCGCGCACGGAGCTCTTCCGTCTGCTAGAACAAGACCCAATCTTGGTCTTCCTCAAGCCCATGCTGATGAGCAACTTCACAGGCCCGTCGTGGCGCCGGACTTCGATAGACTCACCAGCGTTGCCCACGCCGCGCCGACTCTCTTCCAGATGCTGCGTGACTCGGGGTTCGTGCTGGGGGCTTTCGAGATGGAGAGGCTGTGCGATTGGGACCTCAAATCTTGGTTACGTGCGATTCGCGTCGTGCAGGAGCCCTTGACGATTCTCGCCGGACCCGTCAAACAAGACGCGACGAGTTCCGCGACGGGCCAAGACGCGCCGAGCCCCTCGGCGGGTCCAGCCCAGACTTCGACGACCACGCCCTCGCCTCCACCTCGATACCAATCGAGCGTGGACTCCGACAGCAGTTTCGAGTCGCCCAAGCGCATGCCCATGAACCGGCCGCCGCGCGTCATGCAGCTATCCGCGGCGCCCACACGCACAGAGGTGACGAAACCCGCCGAGGAGGTGCTTCCCAAGGCCTTGAGAGAATCTATCATCAAGCTGATGCAGACGACAGTGATGAACACCCCGCGCGCCGACACGGCCGCAATTCCGACGGGGCCGAAGCCGCCCGCGAATCCCACACCCACGGTGGCTCGCCCCCAGGAGGCAGCGGATGTCGCCATGGAGTCGGTCAGTTCGCGTTCTTCGACGAGGTCCAGAACTCGACGCGACGCGGACGACCCCGATGACCTGTTCGACTTGGACATCGGAGTGCCAAGAACCACGGCCGCCGTCTCGACGGCGACAGCCGGCGGCGTAGCCCTCGCCCGCGTACGCCTCTCAGCATCTTCCAAGCTGAAAGAGTTCTCGGGACGGGACGCCAGCGAAGAGAAAGCCAGACTGTGGCTCAACCGTCTGAAGTCCGCCGCGCGGCGCGACGGGATGGCGGGCGAAGAAGTGTGCGGGCAGTTCAGCGATCTAATGAGCGGCCCTGCGCGCCAATGGTATCTCCAGTTGCCCAGGAAGGTCAAGAAATCATGGACCGAGCTGATGGAGCAATTCCGGGTGCAGTACTGCGGCAAGGGCGTATCAATGGCCAGTCGCTACTACCATGCGGCTCAGCGACCCGACGAGACCCCTCTGGATTACTTGTACCGGCTCAACGTCGCGGGCTTGAGGGCCAACATCCCATACGCCGAGGGCACGACTGAAAAGAAGCGCGAACACGCCGAGCATTTCATCCGGACGGTGGACACGCAGGAGGCCGAACTCGCCTCGCGTCTCACGCTGATGGAGGTCGCCGACTCCGAGGCGCTGGAGAAGAAGCTGCGTGCCCGACAACGTGGATTGGCTCACCAGAAAAAGACTTCCTTCGGCTCGAACAAGTTCCGCCAAAGGCGCCGACCCCGCCGACTCAGCCGGCGCGCGCCGTGCATGCGATTCACTTCGCGTCGGACGAGTACGACTTGGAACGCGAAAGTCGCGACAGCGACGATCGCCAGTACGACCAAGACGAGGCGGACGAAGAACGCGCCAAGTTGTTCGTCGCGGGACAGGCCCCGCCGGAAGAGCCGGCGCGTCGTAACTTCGATCCCGACGACTCGGGACGCGACCGCCCGCGGTGCCGCCACTGTGGTTCACGTCGCCATGTCGAAGGAGACTGCTGGAAGTTGTTGACGTGTCAGAAGTGTGGTGGCCAGCACCCGACGGAGCGATGCTTGAGGATGTGCAAGGCCTGCGGTGACGTGCACGAAGCCGGAGAATGCCCGATGGAGGAGTTCTTCAACCAATTGCGCCAGTGGTTTGACCCGAATAAACACGCGGGAATGCTGCCGCCGGCCGCCGAGAAGATGTTAAACTAGGACGCTCGCTGGCTTGGAAACCAGTACGAGACGAGCGACCTGTTTTCGTCTATGCATATGTGACCAAGAAGTCGCGAGAAGTGGTTAGTGAGAGCCCGACTTCCCTGAATGATAATACATGTGAAAACAACCCGGAACGTACCACGCAAGGACGCGCGCCGCGAATCTCGGCGGTCCGACGTACGACGGACGACGAGTTTGCACGTGAACCACCCCTGGACGAGATCGACTTGCAACCAGGAGAGCGACGCGGATACTGGAAACATTACGCGCCGCACAAGTGGTACAAGCAGGCCTAGATTCATGGAAAGCTGAACAACCGCCGTGCTGTGTTATTGCTCGACACAGGTGCCGAGGTGTCCATCCTGGACACCACCTTTGCTCGTGAGGTAGGCTGCCTGATTGACACGGAGATCACGCAAGAGTGTGTGGGAATTCGTGATGCGACATATTACACGGTGGGGAGAACCAGAGTCAAGATTACCTTGGCTGGGAACTTGGTGTACTACATGCACCTGTGGGTCGACGACTTGGTCGGCCAACACGCAATCCTGGGAATGAACTTCATGGTGCCCGCTGGAGTGCGCATCGACACTGCGGATGGCGCGGCGTGCCTCCCCGACGAGGTGCATATCCAGATGATCGGACGAAGACCGCTATACGGCGCACGGATGCACCCGGTCAACGTCAAGACGCCTGTGAGGCTCGAACCAGGAGACACGCATGAAGTCTTGCTGAGGCCGGATCGAAACGCGCCGTTCCTGTGGGTGACAAGGGCAGAGTCGTGGGTGACTACCTTTGTCAAGGGGAGAGTCGGAAAGGAAACGTACCTGCGTGTCACGAACATCGGAGACGCAGCGATAACCCTCGACGCGCATGAAACGCTTGGGTGGTGGACGCCGTCTGACGGCCAGCCTCGGAACCGTGGATTCATCCGACTGGGCTCCACCCGGTACAAGCAGTGGCAGAATCTGGCGTACGGCGCGACGCGTGACGCGGAGATGAACTGGATCCCAGTCGAGCTCGACGGACCGATGACGGATCGCCCCTCATACCCGACGCCTAAAGCCATCTTGCGCCCGGAGTCGAGACAACTCGGGACGCGACGCGCCGTGACCCCAGTGTTGGCGGCTGTCGCGGAAGCGCCGAAGGGAAGGGGGGTAGACTTGCCACCCGACGACCACAAGCCGGATACGGACGAGGAGGCGGTGGAAAGCGAACCCGATATGCCTCCGACTGTGGCTGGAAGCGCTGCGATGGAATAATCGCCGGAGTCGGAACTCGCCGAGCCAAAACTCGACGGACCAAACCCCGCCGAGCCGAATTTCGACGAGGCGAAACCTGATGAGCAGGAGGAAGACGACGCGGTCCTCATCCACGAGGGGTCCGACCTCTTCGTAGAGGATCTCGAGTCTGAGATGGCAGTGCTGCCAGACGTCTCGCTGACCGCCGAGGTAAAGATCGAGGACTTGAAGGTCGGCATGCCGACTGGACTCCCGCCCGAGGAAGCCGCGAGACAAGAAACGCGGCTACGCCAAATCATCTGGAAGCGACGGAAGTGGTTGATCGGCAAAGGCAACGCCTTGCCGACGGCCGCCCTGGGTGTTGTCTGCGACATCGACGTGGGCGACGCAAAACCCGTCGCGCAACGCGTCCGGAAAATCCCGCCGCAGTTTCGAGAGAAGGTCGCCGACTTGATCAAAGGGCTGCTGAGCACGAGGATGATCCAGAAGTCGAAGTCGCCGTGGGCGTCGCCCATTGTCGTGATCATAAAGGAGAACGGCGTCGATATCCGGCTTTGCATTGACTACAGGCTCATCAACGGGCTGACACAGTTGATGATTTACCCCATGCCGCTCGTCAACGACTTGCTCGAAGACTTGGACAAGTATCTGTGGTACTGCTCCCTCGACATGGCGAGCGGCTTCTGGGTCGTCCCCATGACAGACCGGGCCCGGCTCACCTCAGCCTTCATCACGCCGATGGGACTGTACGAATGGCTGCGTATGCCGTTCGGCCTGTGCAACGCGCCGCAGATTTACCAACGCTTGATCGACAACGCGCTCTACGGGTTCATGAAGCTGTCCCCGGATGGCAGCACTCGGGACGTCTTTGAAGACGGCGAACCGGTGAAGCCAGGTATTCACTCCGTTCTGGGACGGAGGTCGTACATCGACGACATCCTCATCGGGGGCACGTCGTGGGACGACCTGTGCGAGAAGGTCGAACGCTTGCTGGATGTCTGCGAGCAGTGGCACTTGTCCATCAGTGTCGAGAAGAGCGAGTGGGGCATGTCCAAGGTCGACTACCTGGGCCACCGAGTCTCAGGACTCGGTGTCGAGGCGAAGCCGAAGAATCTGGAGTCGCTGACGTCGCTCGAGTTCCCGCGCACGATCAAGGGCCTGCAACCGTTCTTGGGTAGCCTCAATTACTACCACCGGTTCATTGCAGACTTTGCGGTGTATGCAACCGCGCTGTATTCGCTGACGGAGACCGACTTCAGCGAGTACGTCACGCATCCAGAAGTCCGCGGACATGAGAAGTGGACGCACGCGACGCGCGCCTTCGACGCGCTGAAGGCAAAACTCGCCGAGACCCCAATGTTGAAGCACTTCGACGCGAACCGAGAATCCGTCGTGATCGTGTACGCCAGCGACTGGGCCATCTCAGGGGTGCTCACGCAGGTCCACGACGAAGTGTACATGCCTGTGAAGTTCACCAGTCGTACGTTGAAGCCCAACGAGCTGAACTACGACATCGTCGAAAAGGAGATCTTGGCCCTGTTGCGCGTCTTAAACGAGTGCTACACGATGCTAGCAGGGAGACCGGTCCGCGTCTTGACACGTCACGCGACACTCGCCTGGTTGTTCCGGTCCAAAGGACTACAGGGGCGACTGTCACAGTGGGCCGCGATCCTCTCGCCGTGGAAGTTGGAAATCTGCCGATCCATGAAGGGAGAAGAAGAACTCCTCGGCGCGCTGGCCGCGAGCATTACCCCGCGAGCCTTCGTCGACGCGGCGCTAGAAGAGATCGCCCCACGGAGACGGGCGTCCAGGATTGTAGTCATTCCAGTCCCCGACGTGGCGCGCGACGAGGTCTTGCACGTTTTGAGATTTGACGGATCGGCCAAGGCGAAGCGAGAAGGCGGAGCATACAGTGCCGTCATTTGGCAGCTGCCGAACTGGGAGATCGTGCGCGCCGCGTCGGGATATGCGACGGACCTCACGGTCAACGAGGCGGAATACCGCGGGCTGCTGCTCGGATGTTCTCTTCTAGAGGAGCTTGACGACGTCACCCGACTCGTCGTATGCGGAGACTCCAACCTTGTCATCAGGCAGATGCGGGACGAGATGGACTGCAATTCCCCGGGGCTGAAGCTGCTGCGACAAAAGACGCGAAACGCACTCCAGGCATGGCCGCGCCACGAACTCTTCCACGTACGACGAGACTGGAACGCGAGTGCCGACATGCTGGCTGGACAAGCTCTGCAGCGTCAAGGAGGCCGCAACGCGCACAGCCCCGAAGAGATTCAAGATCTGAAGACGCTGAATCGCTTGGAAGAAGTCATCCGACCACGGGCATCGAGTCCCGGGATGGCGTCTCCAGCCAGTCCCGACGCGGATAATCTCGACGCGGAAAACCTCGACTCGGAAAACCTCGACTCGGAAAATCGCGACGCGGAAAATCGCGACGCGAAAACGCGCGGCGCAGATGACCCCGCCGGGAAGGCCATGGACGCGGGACGCGGGACAGCACAAGTCCTCGCTGTGACGACGCGCTCGGCTGCCGCACGCACGACAACACGTAGGGTCCGACCTCCAGAAGTCCTGGAGGAGCTGGTGGTGCAACGACTGCGCCTGGACCGCATCCGCGTCGCTCAGGACGAAGAGGTCTGGATCGTCAACCTCAAGAAGTATCTCCGTGGCGACGTCGGAGACCTATCTCGGCGCGAGGTGAAGAACTTCCAAAAGCTTGCGCCTCAGTACGAAGAGGGTGAAGGCGGGCTGCTCAACTACCAGCCGAGACGCGACGATTCCGCCGAGGATCGCGATGTGATGATGAAGCTGGTGATCCGGGAGACTCTTCGGGAAGATGTACACCACTATCACGCGAGCCTGGAAGGCGGACACCAGGGTATTAGCCGCACGTACCAACGCGTGAGGCGCCACTTCCATTGGCCAGGGATCTTCAGAAGCGTCCAGCGCTACGTCGGCGAATGCACCGACTGCGAGACGGGAAAGGGTCGGCCGACCATCCAGGGCGAGTCGCCGGGCAACATCGTCGCGACGTACCCGTTCCAGGTCATTGCCATGGACCATATTCCGTCGTTGCCGGCATCCTACAAAGGCAACACAGAGCTGTTAGTCTGGGTCGACCTCTTCACGGGGTTCGTCGTGGTCAAAGCGAATGCGTCACGAACCGCGCAGACGGTGGCCGAGGCGTACGAGGAGGCGGTGTTCAGGCGCTTCGGCGCGAGCGAGGCTATCCGCCACGACCGCGAGCCGGGCTTCATGTCCGACTTCTTCAAGGCGTTCAGCAAACTCATGGGTCAGAGACAGCGAGCGACGCTTGCTTATCGTCCCCAAGCCAACGGTGCTGCAGAACGGATGGTGCAGACGGTTACAAGAGCGATCAAGATGTACATCGCAGACGTCGACCAACGCGACTGGGACGAATACGCCGAGCGTCTTACCTTCGCGCTAAACACGTCGCACGACCGGACGAGGAATGAAACCCCGTTCTTCTTAGTGCACGGCTGGGATCCTCGGTCGACGCTGGAAGCGACGCTGGCCGTCGGGAACACGTCGACCCGGGACGCCGAGGCGAGGCGGTGGAGGCTCCGTATTCAGCGACACTACAAGGTGACAAGGGCACAAGCGTTGGAGTTAGTCCGAGAGGCCGTCGACGAGAGAGCGCGTCGACAAACTGAAAACGCGACGCGACATGAGATCGCGACGGGCTCGCAAGTTTGGCTGTACCTGGATCGGGTGAAGCCGGGG